CGAGGGCGAGGGTCACACAATTGTGCCTAAATAGTTCATATCCTGTGACAACTCACTTTTTTATGTGGAATGTTATGTTTAAGTCCTCATACACACGGGATGATTTTACAGCGGCTGTATTTGGCTTCTGATGTTTTTTTCTACAGCCAGTAAACCCCCCAGCATGTTATCCTATGTGTCCATACACGCAGACTGTAATCAACGTTTTTTGTTTTTTGACGCTTTTTTCTACAACAACAGTCAACCCCCCAGCCTGTTATCTTATGTGTCCATACACACATAGACTGTAATAAACATTTTTTGGCTGGAAAACAAACCCAGTCGGTTTTCTAAAGGAGTTTTTTAGCTGTAAAAACGCTCTAACGCTTTTAAAACGCGTCAAAACGCAGTAAAACTCCGCAAACCAGTATTTTAAAAAAGTTTTTTGACCCCCCCCCCAAAAATTTATTTTTTATTTTATTTATTTATTTTTGCCGCTAATTGCAGCAAAACGCTGCTAAACGCTAACGCAAAAATGCTAAAAAAAAAACGTAACGTAACTTTACACAGCTAACGTTACCAGTGTTTTCAAAACGTCCCGTGTGCATGAAGGCTAAAGGTGAAATCAGGCAGATATAACAATACACCAACAAATTCACTTAGGTATGTATTAAAAACAATTAAATGTAATGTATTTTTTGAATCTGTAACTGGTACAAGTACCTGAACTCACCTGGCTATCAGTTTCTTCTAATACTCTGCACATCAGCACCAGGAGCCAGTTTGCTACAGTGCACATGTGCTCACAGTGAACCCTCTGACAGGAGAGGAGAGCAGAATGAATGGAGATGTCACATCAAAGGGGACATAATCCTTCATTGTCCAATCAGAATTGTCTTCTTGACCAAACTATTGAAATATTGAAGGTCCAGGACTGGGCACTGTTGACTGTCAGAAGTGTCTGAATCTCAGGACTGGTTGAATAGAATTACAAATCTTCTGGAAAGAAAAACAGTTCCTCTGTATGAATTTTAAACCTGACGTTTAATCTGCTTATATTATGCCATTCTTGGTTCTTCCCTCTCAATAACATGCTTATAAATGTTTACATAAAACCTTCCAATTTGCATTACATACCTTATTTTACATACAATGACATCATCACTGGATCTCTGTGCTTCACTATTCAATGCAAACAGATGATGGCTGGTGGGAAGGACAGCAAGGTGCTGTACATCGTTTCCTGGAAGCGCCTCCTAAGAGCTCTCAGCCCTGATGCGAGCGGTGAGCTGGTTCTTGAGAGGGTTTATGTAAAAATCAAATGCCTAAATGGGTGGAGGGTGGATATCTGTCAAGAGCATTCAGAATGCTCTGGGTAATTCCCACATGTGATGCTGAGCTTCCACGAATGAATGAACTGAAATCCAATGAATGAAAGGTGCGGGCCAGGGACAGTCAGGTTGGGGAGGAAAGGGTTAGATGATAATGGATGCTCTCCAGCTAGTTAATGAGGTTGGCTCTATCTGACATTCTGCAGCTTCTAATGCACACTGTGAGAACCACCTGCAGGCAAATAACAGTAAGTATTTTCAGTATAGGAGAGCAGCCTGTACAACTGCAACAAGAAATGTACGGCTGGAGTTCAGATTTAACTGTATCAGCAGTTGGTTGCCTCAAATCTTTCAACGTGTAGAAATCCACATGTATGAATTATACATGCAACCTAAAATATTTCTTATCAAACTATTACAACAGAAACTGCTCCAGGACACGCGATCATGCTTTAAAAAAAAAAATGTCAGTTTGATAGAACACGGTATATGATAGAACACGGTATATGATAGAACACGGTATATGATAGAACACGGTATATGATAGAACACGATGATATGATAGAACACGGTATTAAGATAGAACACGATAGTATGATATGATATAGAACACGGTATATGAACACGGTAGATAGAACACGGTATATGATAGAACACGATGTATGATATATGATAGAACACGGTATATAGATAGAACACGGTATATGATAGATAGAACACGGTGTATGATAGAACACGGTGTATGATATAGAACACGGTATATGATAGAACACGGTATATGATGATAGAACACGGTATATGATAGAACACGGTAGAACACGGTATATGATAGAACACGATATGTATGATAGAACACGATGTATGATAGAACACGGTATATGATAGAACACGGTATATGATGACAGAACACGGTATATGATAGAACACGGTATATGATAGAACACGATGTATGATAGAACACGGTGTATGATAGAACACGGTATATGATAGAACACGGTATATGACAGAACACGGTATATGACAGAACACGGTATATGATAGAACACGATGTATGATAGAACACGATGTATGATAGAACACGGTATATGATAGAACACGGTATATGATAGAACACGGTATATGATAGAACACGATGTATGATAGAAACACGATGTATGATAGAACACGGTATATGATAGAAGAACGGTATATGATAGAACACGATGTATGATAGAACACGGTATATGATAGAACACGGTGTATGATATGATGATAGAACACGGTATATGATAGAACACGGTATATGACAGAACACGGTATATGATAGAACACGATGTATGATAGAACACGATGTATGATAGAACACGGTATATGATAGAACACGGTATATATATAGAACACGATGTATGATAGAACACGGTATATGATAGAACACAATATATGATAGAACACGGTATATGATATGATAGAACACGGACAGAAACACGGTATATGATAGAAGAACACGGTATATGATAGATGAAACGGTATATATGATACACGAACACGGTATATATGATAGAACACGGTATATGATAGAACACGGTATATGATAGAACACGATGTATATGATAGAACATAGAACACGGTGTATGATAGAACACGGTATAGAACACAATATATATGAGAACATGATAGAACACGGTATATGATAGAACAACGATAGAACACAATATATGAGAGTATATGATAGAAACACGGTGTATGATAGAACACGGTGTATGATAGAACACGGTGTATGATAGAACACGGTGTATGATAGAACACGATATATGATAGAACACGGTATATGATAGAACACGATATATGATAGAACACGGTGTATGATAGAACACGATATATGATAGAACACGATGTATGATAGAACACGATGTATGATAGAACACGGTATATGATAGAACACGGTATATGATAGAACACGGTATATGATGAACACGGTATATGATGGAACACGGTATATGATGGACACGGTATATGATGGAACACGGTATATGATGGACCACGGTGTATGATAGAACACGATGTATGAGAGAACACGATGTATGATAGAACACGTGTATGAGAGAACGCGGTATATGATAGAACACGGTATATGATAGAACACGGTGTATGAGAGAACACGGTATATGATAGAACATGATATATTGTATGATAGACCATGGTGACCTGTAGAGAGTCTGCTATGGCACTAGTGGAAGAGCCGTGTTTTTTTAAATGCTGTTAGGAAATGTTCTGTGAGGCTTGGTCCACACTGCTGTGACTTGAAAGTTGTGTGATTTCCATTGCGACTTTGCATTGTGACCTGATGCAACTTCATGAAACTTTGATGTCATGCGACTTTGGCTTTAGTTAATACCCTCTGATGTCAGATACTGTCGCATCAAAGTTGCTTAGATTAAGACAAGCCTTGTCTTTTTTCATTTTAACATTGCAGTCTATGGCACTGAAGTTGCACCAAAGACACAGAAAAGTAATTACTTGAAACTTTCAAATATTTTTTCAAACACACATTTTTGGGGAAAAAATGCACTTTAATGAATTTTAGTGAACACAAGATAATATCCAGTTTTTTGGTAAAATTTAAAAGATTAGATACCAAACATGTCTCACTTTAAAATTGTGCTCTTCTGTGGAACACGACAAACTATTGTACATGAAATTATCCATAGGCATTGCTTTAAAAGAAGGTTACCAGTTTACACAGGAGGTCTGGTGCTCAGATTTTGCTCCTGCTCTGACATTCGCAGTAATAACTCATGTGTGGGATGTATGTTGGGGATGTCAGGGGCACTTTTTTCAATTTTATTTTCAATTTTACTCAAATGTTTTTTATTTACACTTTTTATTTGATTTGTTTTTTTTTTAATCAACTTTTACGCTATCACAAGGGATGAACAACAACCTTGTGATAGTATGGGCCATGACAGGTCCTCTTTATGGAGAGATATGGGATCTATGGGACCCAGATCTCTCCTCTGGCCTCCAAAGCACCTGGTCAAAACAAGATTGGTTTGATTGGCTGCTGTATAAGCCGGTAATGGCTTGTACATAAACAAAGCAAATCTGGGAGTGACAAAATCCTCCTTTCTTCTGCTTTCTGACACCACAGAGTGGGAGGACCAATCAGTTCCATTCATTCTGTGTACAGCTTCCAATACTCCTTGGGGGGGATGGAAGAGCCCAGGAAAGGCGGTGGGACCCCCTTACACCACCTGTAAAAGTGATCCAGTGGCTCTATAAATGCTTGGATCACTTTAAAGTGTTACTAAACCCACAACAGTATAATCAGTCTGTATATGCAGTAACGCATGCTTGTTATACTCACTGTGGAACCTAATGGGTTAATCCTCTGCACTGTGTAAAAAGCCCATTTGATCCTGTTTTCTCTGCTCCTCCTCTAGTTCAAATTTCCACATCTTATCTCCTGATAAGACAGACTGAACCGTTTGCCATTCTGCACATGCTCAGTTTAGTGTGGCTTGCTAGAGAGAGCTTTTATTTTCTTCTTGGGAGAGTGCATGTAATCAGCACAGGGCCAATCAGCACTGTCCAGATAGAGGTCAGGAGTTCTGCATCCTTCTAGAGCAGAAAGAAAACTCCTCCTGCAGGTTTTTAACCAGTGCTCTGCTGGACACTGATAGAAGTCACAAGACATAATGAATGCAGGGTCCGGGGAGCCCAGATATATTGAATGCAGGGTCCTGGGAGACCAGATATAGTGAATGCAGGGTCCGGGTAGACCAGATCTAGTGAATGCAGGGTCCGGGGAGACCAGATCTAGTGTATGGAGAGTCCGAGGAGACCAGATATAGTGACTGCAGGGTCCGGGGAGACCAGATATAGTGAATGCAGGGTCCAGGGAGACCAGATATAGTGAATGCAGGGTCCGGGGAGGCCAGATATAGTGAATTCAAGGTTCGGGGAGACCAGATATAGTGACTGCATGGTCCGGGGAGACCAGATATAGTGACTGCAGGGTCCAGGGAGACCAGATATAGTGAATGCAGGGTCCGGGGAGACCTTATATAGTGAATGCAGGGTCCGGGGAGACCAGATATAGTGACTGATATCCGGGAGACCAGATATAGTGAATGCAGGGTCCGGGGAGGCCAGATATAGTGAATTCAAGGTTCGGGGAGACCAGATATAGTGACTGCAGGGTCCGGGGAGACCAGATATAGTGACTGCAGGGTCCAGGGAGACATGATATAGTGAATGCGGGGTCCGGGGAGACCAGATATAGTGAATGCAGGGTCCAGAGAGACCAGATATAGTGACTGCAGGGTCCGGGGAGACCAGATATAGTGAATGCTTAGTTACATTTTAAGGCTACATTCACACTGGCTGAGCGTTTTTAGATGTTTTTTCAAGCATTTTTATCTGGTGTTTTTGAACTTTTTTAGCAGATTTGCAAATATTATAGGTGTTTTTTTCAGGTGTTTTTTATTTTGGTGGTTTTTCTTTGGCCCTATTATGTGTATGTATGAATGTGAGTTAGGGATCTTAGATTGTACGCCCCTTGAGGGTTAGGGACTGATGTGAATGTACAATATATATGTAAAGAGCTGCGTAAATTGACGGCACTATATAAGTACCTGAAATAAATAAATAAGTCAGATCACAGCAGTAAAAAAAAATAGAAGCAATTTGGAGGAGGTTGAGGGCATTATCAGGGACCTTTATTGAGATAAAGATACATGCTTGAATAGATTTTATTTTTAGTGCCACTTTAATTCAGAGCTGCCTTGATTTTACTTTCTACCCAGTAGTGACCGGCTCACACTGGAACGCGGTGCCGGAAACCCGCGTTCCGTGCACGGTTCTCACACCGCGTTCAAAATGTGCTGTGTCTGCGATCTGCAGCTGGTGTCAGTGTAAAGTTAAAGTTGTTGTAAACCCTTACATATATAGTGGATATAATATTTTGGAGGGACATCCAGTTCTTGGTGATGTCAACATTTGTAGATGTGTTCTAGGAATATACAACAGGAAAACCAGAATAAAGCACATGGCTGCTGTACACAGAGGTTCTGTACCTTTCTCCTTGATCTGGGGAGCAGTGTAGTGGTTCCTCTGGGGCAACAGGTTTCCTCCGACTTCCTCCCAGGCTCTGGTGATTCTTGCCCGGCTCTTATAATGGGGAACCCTGGGATCATAGATGCAGGGGTGACCACGAATGAGAGCAATGAATGTCTCAGTTTCCAGAAGCAGACTCCATTATGATCACAAGATATGTGTTTATAAGGTGTGGAGTGATGCTAGAAAAGGGGAGGGGGGAGCAGCTGTCTGAGCTGAAAATGCTTGAAAAAACACTCAAAAAAAATGCTAATTTCTTGCTGTTCAAGCATTTTCCATTCAAGTCTATGGGGACAAAAATGCTTAAACCTGCCTAAAATTCAGCGCATGTACTTTTTTGCTTGACAGTCGTTTTGCTACAGGCAACAAAATGCTCAAAAGTGAACAGGGGCCATTGAAATGGATGGTATTTTCCTTGTTGAGCTTCAAGTTGAAAAATGCTCAAGTGTGAGCGAGGCCTTACATGAAAGAGAATCGCCTGCTGAGAAGAATAGTCCTGGGATGATGATTATAGTCTCAACCATGTCCCCAGAATAACCACCTCAATACTGTACAATGCTGTGTATATATATGTAGGGTGGTATTGAGGTGGTCAAATATTAGTCCAGGCCTGGACCTATTGCAAACAAGACTAAATTTCCCTAACGAGTGGACAAAAACCAATCTATCCAGTTCAAAGCCTGATGAGTGACAGCTCTGCAAGTGCCCTTGGGCTCTGTTCACACTAGTGCAATTTCAGATGCGACTTGCACAGAATTGCACAGTGACAATGGAAATCGTGTTATTTTCAATGGTACCCATTCACATTAAGGCAACTCAGCACTGCACGATTTTGGAAAAGGTTCCTATGCTACTTTGGTGTGATCCTAGCACAATTTTGGCTACATCAAATGTGCAAACCAATTCAAAGTAGCATCCAAGGTGCACTACATAATTGCACTGAAATTTGGAACAAAATCAGGTCACAGAGGCATGAATCTAGTCTTGGCACCTACACTGTTTCACTGTGGTTATTGGCCAAAAAAATGTCATGTTTGATGTCCAGTCAGTTGGCCTTATCACCCAGATTTCAATTCCTTGTGTAAGTGTCAAGGGTGATTTTTGTGTTTTATGGCCTTCAAGACCACTGTGAGAATTCTTTAATTAATGGTGAACAAATATCCATTGGGGACTCTATATGTAGAGTTGGGCCTCTTGGAAGACTTTTAAAAATGGAACTAGGAAATGCTAATGAGGGTTTTATACTTTGGAAGGTTCAGCCAGGTAATGAGATCTGCACCACCATGATCATGAAGAGTCTTGCATTGTAACATAAATTCCTGGTAAATGCAAAAAAAAAAACCGATGGTCTCACCTAACCTTAAAATGCACATTTACAAGAATGATGTAGGGTGGTTAATGTACTTTTTTTTTAATGATCAAAGTTTTAATAATTTTGGCACCATTTAGAAAGATAAGTTGTGAAAAGGTTTGCTGTCGCAGTGATATTCCAAGAATCCTCTGACGCTTAACTCTTTCATAGATTAACGTACAAGTGGTACCCTTGATAACGTTATCTATGATGAAATGCGTTGGGTGGAGCCGGAGGCCGTCACTTCACGTACTCGCGCATGCTCCTCCTGCATTTGGTGGAACGTTGGTAAACGTTGGTTGCCTGTATACAAGATCTTCATGTGAGTTGTATACCTTTCTTTTAATAAACATTTTATGGGATTCACACTATTGGAGCCTTTTCTTTTTCTCCCTTATGTGGATGTTATGTCAATATTACCCGTTCTTGGGAGTCTCTTATCTGCTAATGATCGGTTGGTGGATGTTGCTTCAGTCTATGAAATCTTTTGTTGACTTCTCATATGAGGATCACAGGGCTTCTGGTAAGCCTTTTGATTTACACATGGTGATTCCATATACAGGGGATTGGGGAAGAGGATCATTGATTTACTCATTTCATGCACTGTGTGGCAGTCCACATTCTATGGACTTTTTGCCATTTGTGTTTTTTGTATTATTTATGTATTCACTTTTATCACTGCACAATTTTGATATTCATTTGTGGAATATAGTGTTGTCAGGGTCCTGTCTGGAAGATCTGGCATTTCTGCCAGTACTCTGCATGGCCACAGAAGCACGCATCAGCCTCAGTTTTGTGCCAGACGGCCTTTATAAGGAGGCTCATCACTTCCTCAAGTTGCTGGATGATCTCTAGCTCCCCGTGCCTGTATCCTGTGATTGTGACCTGTGATTTCCTGATACTGACTCGGCTTGCTCCTGGACCTGTCTACTCTGCTTAAGCCCTGATCTGACCTTGGCTTGGCTTACGGATACTCTCGCTCCTCTGTGTATGACCTCGGCTTGGCTTACGGATACTCTCTCTCTCTCGCTCTTCTGTGTATGACCTCGGCTTGGCTTACGGATACTCTCTCTCTCGCTCCTCTGTGTATGACCTCGGCTTGGCTTACGGATACTCTCTTTCTCTCGCTCATCTGTGTATGACCTCGGCTTGGCTTACGGATACTCTCTTTCTTTCGCTCATCTGTGTATGACCTCGGCTTGGCTTATGGATATTCTCTTTCTCTTGCTCATCTGTGTATGACCTCAGCTTGGCTTACGGATACTCTCTTTCTCTCGCTCATCTGTGTATGACCTCAGCTTGGCTTACGGATACTCTCTCTTGCTCATCTGTGTATGACCTCGGCTATTCCATCTGACTATGTCTGCTCTGACTCCTACCTGGTACCTGACTTGGCTTGAAACGGCTTTCCAATAAACCTCTAAATCCCAGAAGGGCTTGCGCCACCTGTCTGCAGACCTATCTCTGTACATCAGCTGTGCTTCTGGGTGGACCACCAACCAGCACTCCTACAGGCAACCTGTGCCACTTTGGGCCTGACTCCCGCAGTCCCACTCTCAGGGGAGTCTGGAACTTAGCGCAAGGGGAGCCCTCTCTCCATTGGCCTCCATCACCAGGTACATGATAAGTGTATCCTATATTTGGTGCTGGCAGCTACATCCTTTACTTATTTTTATAATGTTATTTACATTGTTTCATTTGTAGCACGGCTTTCTTACAATATAACATACAAGCACTGCCACAGCAATCAGTGGGAGTAGAGTACATTTTAAAAATGACAAAGAAAAAAAAAAATCACAAAAATGTATTAGACAAACCAAGTACAGCCACCTCCTCATCATGTACCCAGCCTCCTCCTCCCCAGTACTTTGTTGATATCTACATATGGAAGTAAGGTTTTAGTAGACCAAGGCTAGAAGCAGTAATTATTTGGTGGTTATCTATAGATATACATACTATATAGTTTAAATAAGGTTTTAATAATTTGATAATACAACATTATACAATGTAATTTTTATACAATGGTTATGTATATTTCTCTACTCGGATATAGAGGTATATAAATGACTTTATGTAGTACCACTAAAGTCCCATTTTCATAGGTTTTTGTCTTAAGGTCTACAATTTAGTAATGTAGGTACAGAGCTCCAGCTCATTGATTTACAGTATGTTCCTCAAACCTTGTATTAATCTCCTTGATTTTTACACACTTTGGAGCCCTCAAAATATGCACTCAGCTGCCATCAAATACTCTAATGCATCCTCACAAAGAAGCTGGAGGAAGGGTAACCAAAATGTGAACTGGTTTTAGAAAGCTGCGTTATTCCACTGGCAGAACAATGAACAGCCAGATGGTCCTTTAAGTGTCTGCAAAGGTTAAATTAGGTTTCTATATTTTTTTGTGCTGCCAAATTTCATGCCTGCCCACTCCTCGGTCCAACTTTCCAACCTCTGAGTCACTGTCTGAAAGCAAAACAAGCAGCTGGACCTCATAGAAGTTTGCTCTGTGGGAAAGTATGGCTCAAAATGGCTCCCATTGTTCCAGAGTAATTTTATACGGCGTGTTTAATATCCTCAGCAATTCACAGAATTCTCAGAATTGTGCCGGCCTGTCAGCCATGGGAAACACAAAACGCAATGTAAATTATAAGGGAAAGTGTTACAAAGGAAAACATGAATTGACCATTGTATACATAAGTACTTCAATGTCTACCTTTAGCCAGCAGCCATCTTGAGCAATAAACAAATGATAAATAAGTAATACTAAACACCGCATCGGGCAATATGAATAACGGTGTTCATTCACATGGATAGGTACAAAAATACAGATGCTTAAAGTGGAACTGCACTACATCTGAGCACCACAA